AGGGGGGAGCATTGGAAGGATTTGGGGTGGTCGGGGGGGGATCATTTGGAGGGAATTTGGGGGTCCTGGGAGGGGGGGGGACCTGCAGGAGGAATTGGGGGGGATCTGGAAGAGCCCACTGACCCCATATGGTGGAGAATATTGGGGACATAAAGGGGGGGGACCATTGGGGGGAGTCCAAGGGGTTCAATCCAGGAGATTTGAGAGACATCTGGGGGAGAACTGGGGGGATCCTGGAGGGGGGGAATTCTGGACAGGAGGACCCCACTAACCCCCCCTTCCCCCTTATCCAGACAAGACCATCATCATGTGGAAGCTGACCCGGGATGAGACCAACTACGGGATCCCCCAGCGCGCCCTGCGCGGCCACTCGCACTTCGTCAGCGACGTGGTCATCTCCTCCGACGGCCAGTTCGCCCTGTCCGGCTCCTGGGACGGCACCCTGCGCCTCTGGGACCTCACCACGTGCGTCTGGGGGAGGTTTTGGGGGGTCTGGGGTAACGCCCTGCGCCTCTGGGACCTCACCACGTGCGTCTGGGGGAGGTTTGGGGGGGTCTGGGGTAACGCCCTGCGCCTCTGGGACCTCACCCCGTGCGTCTGGGGGGCTCTCTGGGACCTCACTGTGGCATTTTGGGGGGTCCTGGGGGGCCTCCTGGGCCTCTGTGCCCCCCCCCCCAGTGCCGGGATTTGGGTGACTCCCCGGTTTTTGGGGTCCAGGGGGGGTGTTTTGGGGTCCAGGGGGGGATGTTTTTGGCCGCTCCCCTCCCGATGATTATCCAACATTCTCCCGATCCTGCGGGATCTGAGGACACTCCTGCAATGATGAGGGAGGGGAGCAGCGGTGGGGGAGGGAGGGCCAGGCTGGTTTTGGGGTGATTTGGGGCCGAATTGAGGGGTTGCAGCTGGAAACCCACCGGGATTTGTGGAGCCAAACTCATCCCAATCCCCAAAAACCCTTTCCCAGCCCGTTCCAGGTCCTATTTCCCATCCCACTTCCTGGATTTCCTCCCCCTCCAGATTCCTGGGGGTGTTTTTTTTCCCTCCAAAATCCTCCCCCCTAATCCCCTGGTGTCCCCTCAGGGGGACGACGACGCGGCGCTTCGTGGGGCACACCAAGGACGTTCTGAGCGTGGCCTTCTCGTCCGACAACCGGCAGATCGTGTCGGGCTCCCGGGACAAGACCATCAAGCTCTGGAACACCCTGGGGGTCTGCAAGTACACCGTGCAGGTGGGGCTGGGGTCACCCCTGGGGGGTTTGGGGTCACCCCTGGGGGGTTTGGGGTCAGTCCTAGGGGGTTTGGGATCAGTCCTGTTGATTTTGGGTCCAACCCCATTGATTTTGGGCCCAATCCCATTGATTTTGGGCCCAATCCCATTGATTTTGGGCCCAATCCCATTGATTGTAGGCCCAACCCCGCTGATTTTGGGCCCAACCCCATTGATTTTGGGCCCAACCCCATTGATTCTGGGCCCAATCCCATTGATTTTAGGCCCAACCCAGTTAATTTTGGGCCCAATCCCATTGATTGTAGGCCCAACCCCGTTGATTTTAGTCCCAATCCCATTGATTCTGGGCCCAATCCCATTGATTCTGGGCCCAATCCCATTGCTTTTGGGCCCAATCCCATTGATTCTG